GTGCACATATTTTTGGTAGTACTTTAGTAGTGCACAATTTTGAAAGCTCTTGTAGTTGGCAGATAATACCATGGAATATGTATTTGCCAACATAGCGTACACCAGTTTTTATTTTTGCCCAAATGTATGCAAATGGTGATTTTAAAGGTAATGTATGCAAGTCAAATGGCACATTGGAATCTACACACACTGTTAAACATGTTCATGTAAAACATAAAAGCACCACAATAAGGCCCCCATCATCATCAGTTAGAAATGGGTTCACCATATCATCACCACACATTTCACATTACAACACATATGCACTACCATCACACTCCATAGGATTACCAGGCACCAAACATCACACAAAAAAAGAGCACTAAAATGATAAAGGGTTTAAGAGGAGTACTACCCTTTTCCTTCATTGCCGTCATCTGCATTCAACCCTTTCCTGCCTTCCTCTTCTTCCTCGCCGTCACTGCCATCCTGTGCATCCACCCCAAGCTGCCTTCCTCTTCCTTGTCTGACAGTCCATCCACCAACACTCTGGAATTAACCTCTTCTCCTTCTGAATCAGTGAAACCTTCTAACCCATCGTAGGTATCAGAAACAATAATTGTACCATATTTCTTCCGGATCCACCAATCGGGATTAGTTTCAGACGAGGTTTCGGATGAACCGAATTTCAGAGGAATTGGGCTATGAGGTTCTGAAATAGGGGACTCAACTTTCGGATCTGGCTTGGGAGACGAGGTTTCCTCAACTCCATGTAACGGTGGAGATGATTTTGGATGAGATGGATCCATGCACAGGGGAAGCGGTGGGGGCGATGGAGGGAAGTAGCGATAGATGGGTTTCAGAGAAGAAGAGTTTCTAAGAGGGTACCGATGGAAAGCTTTGTGAGGGGTGGCGATGGGGGAGCTGCAGAGGGGTAACGACGGAAGGGTTAGAACGGTAGCGACGGAGGAGCCTGGAGGCCCGGGAACTAAGGGTTGCAGAAGGGGGAGAGAGACGCTGACAAAGGAGAGAGAAGAGGGATGTGAGGTCTGTTGGGTTAGATGGGATAATGGGTAGATGGGAAGGGTTAGATGGGATAATGTGGTAGATGAGATGTGGGAGTAAAATAGTAATTGAATGGGTAAAACTTTCCAAAAATAGAAAGTGGAACTTCATTTTGGAACTTCCCGTAATGGAAAGGTGGAACTTAATTTCGAATCGGAGAGAGTATCACTTTATCTCTCTAGCTTTCCCTTCTCTTTAGATAATTAATCTATCATTTTATTTTCACAAATCAGCAGAATTACTGAATTAGCCAATACGAGCCAGAATTTCATAAATTTCAACAGAATCAGCCAATATAGCTGATTTGGCTATTACCAAACAGACTCGTAGGATGTTTTTACTTGGACTGTAATTTGCTGGTCTGGTATGGTCTGGTCTGTTTTGGTCTGGTCTGGTTTGATCTGGTCTGGTCTGGTCTGAAATTTTATTTTTTATATTTTTTGCATAAAGATTTTATTTTTCATATATATTTTATAATCCATAAATAATTACTCCCTCTGTCCCGAATTGAATTGCAAACTTTGACCGCCACAAGGATTAAGAAATGACAATAAATGATGCTTGCTTTTTACACTTTTGCACATCTTTTTAAAAGTAGATGTCTTTAAGTTAATGGAAAAAAGTAAAAGTATGAGTAAATTTGTCACTTTATTCTTATTTACATACCTAAAATAGAAAGTGGAAAATCATTTTGGTACAACCAAAAAGGGAAATTTTGCAAATCAAATTGGGACGGAGGGAGTATATTTTATTCATTTATAATTAAAAATAATAATATTCCTTCCAAATTATCGAAAATTGTTATCGTTTTACTTGGTCTGATTTCAATCCCAGGCCGAAGCAGATCAGACCAGACCATACCAGACCACACCAAAACAGAACATATCATATCGAACCAGAATAATAATAATAATACTCCGTAATAATTATAATAATAATAATAATAAAAACAACAATAATAACAACAACAACAACAACAATAATAACAATAATAATAGTAATAATAGTAATAATAATAATAATAATAATAATTATAATAATAATAATAATAATTAGGGGCGTGCACTATCCGGCTTAAACCGGAAAACCGGACCGGAAAAACCGGAACCGGATCGAACCGGAATGATATCCCGTTCGGTTCCGTACGATCCGGTCCGATTTGGAACTCAACTTGTTGCTCGGCTCCCCACTTGTTCCTTGAAATCCTTCTCTTTTCTTATCCTAATAAAATGTCATTTCTATAATAATAATAATAATAATAATAATAATAATAATAATAATAATAATAATAATAATAATAATAATAAAATATGGTCTGTTCTGATCTGGTAGATCTGGTCTATTTTAGTCTGGTTTGGTCTGGTCTGGGACAAGTTACAGTCCAAGTAAAAACAACCGTAGTTCTATTTGTGCTCTTAAACCACTTTTTTGTTCTATTTAGGTAATTCACTCTAATTAATCAATAATGATAACATGATAAAGTACTTATCTGAATGGGCAAATTACAAAGCACAAATATTTTGCTATTACGTTTTACTGCATTCATTCAATATACTTCCTCTGTCTTAAAATATATTTATCACTTTCCTTTTTGAGCCGTTTCAAAAAATATTTCTCATTTCTATTTTTGAAAAGTTTTGTGTGACTCATATTCATTTACTTTTTTCTTAGTCAACCAAAACCATACATTTCTCATTTATTCTCATTTATTCTCATTTTCTTAATAAGCGTGTCAAGTCAAATCGGGAAGTATATTTTGGGATTGAGGTAATAACAATCAGCACGAAATGTTTCAAATATGACTAAACACCGACAGACATAAATTGTACAAATATGATGAGTACTAAAAGTAATCAGGAGAGAAGTTCGGCGTCCTCCTTCCTTTGATGTCTACCGTCACAGAAATAAACAAAGAAGAATTCCACTTACTCCCTCCGTTCTTTAAAAGTTTGTCAAGTTTGACTGACACGTAGTATAATAAAGTAAAAATTGTGTGGTAGATATTTGTGCAGAGGAGAGAGAAATAACAGGAGCCACAAATTGATTGATTAAAATAGAAAATGACAAAGTTTTTGGGACAACCAAAAAAGGAAAGTTTGCAAAGTTATAAAAAACGGAGGGAGTATTTTTTTTAGGTCCATTCTCACAAGACGCTCCTTACAATTTTGTTAACTTTGCTTTTTTGAGTGTTCCACTAATGTTACCACTTTTCGTAAAAAAATTGTGTTTTTAATTAATTCTCTCTCAGTTTTGCATAATACTCGACTACACAGTTTTTACTTTATTAATCAATGTGCCTGTCAAACTTGACATAGTTATAAAGGACGAAAGAAGTATGACTTGTGAGGGTTTCTTAGTCACAAATAAATCACCCCTTCAAGCGCAACGATCTTTTTCCAGATGCGAGATTGGAGAAATAACTGTTCTCTAGACTGGTGAATGCCCTATTCTATGTGATACTCCCTATATTTTACTTCGTAGGTGTTACGTTCCTCGATCTCCCCTTTGTGGCTTTGTGTTGTGAACTACTCGTAGCTTTTTCTACGCGAATTTTTTTAATCCACATGAGATCAATCAATCAATCCAAGTTTTTCTCATATCCTCTAGTTTCCCGCAATCTCTATCGTCCTGACTTCCATTTTAGGCGATTTTGTGAATATAGTCCAATTTATATACTCCCAACTTATCGTCCGGTCGGTGTTAGGATATTTTAGAGATGTGATGTCATCCTTTTTTCATTTTTAGACTATGATTTTGCAGTTCTGGGGTTTGAATTGGGGGTGTAAATTTAGAGATATTCGACGTTTGAGTTTCATGACAGCTTTGAAAAAAAAAGATGACATTTCATCCCATCCTTGAGGCCCCCCAATATCGATCGAACAATTAGATGGGATGACAGTTTTGGGAGGTTGTTGTAACTAGAGCAGGGTGGAGACTGCTAATTTTAATTGTACGGGTGCAAATGACACAATTAAAGTTCAACTATTTTTTCTCAATTATTTGTGTTTGTACGTATATCTCTGTACTCCAAAATCGGAAAATGAAAAATTAGGAAACAAAGAATATAGACATGTAGTACCTAATATAACACTCTCTCCGTTCCAAACAAATTATCATTTCTATTTAAAGTAAGAAATTTGTGACTAAAGTTATTTCTTTTCCTTTGCACAAATTTCAACCACACAATTTTACTTTATTAATATACGTGTAAGTCAAAATTTTCTTAATAAAGAGGAATTTTCTAGGGTTGCCGCAAGGCAATCTTTAGCGTTAGGATTTTTCTAGGGTTGCCGCAAGGCAATCTTTAGCCTCGGTGTGTCCACTATCAGCTAAGCCGAGGAGCGGGGTTCGGTTTCGGCCGACCAATTTGTTATTATTGATCAGTCTGGAGGATGGACGAAGGTGGTCGATCAGGAGGTTACAGAGATCATTGCGGGGTGAGATCTGTTGAGGAAGATTTGAGTAGCGGTGCTTCGGGAGGCGTTCGGCGGGTTTAACGAAGCAGCGAAGCAGACGGATTGGTCTGTGCAACAGTGGTTCAGGAATTTTTAGTCGGCATGGTAATGCATAGAGATTTGTGGAGAATATTGGTGATCAATACAAAAAGATGGCAATTGATGCTGAAGAAGAAGAACTGACAAGCTATGGGAAGGTGATCATTCTAGTGATTGACATGATAGATTCTCAGATTAATTTTCTGGAGGTTGAAATTCTCTTACTCCGTATATCATACTACAACAGCTCGCCCTCCTCTGGAACCACCTCCCTGCAAGGAAGTAATTTGGGGAATTTTTTTATTTTCGTATTGTTTTTCCCTTCGTAGTACTTGTTTTTATTTCAGTTCGACCGGGTGTGGTCGGAGTATTTTGGTTTTTGATGAACTCTTGATAGGCAGTGTTTCATTTTCGGTCGTTTTAGGCCAGTGGCGGATCCAGGATGAGAACTTATTGGGGGCAGAAAAAAATGCATCACAAAAAAGATTAATAAAGTAGTAATGTAATATTACAATAATTAAAGTCTTACCAAATACATCACAATTGTTCGCGGCGAGTTTTCATCTTTTGAAAGAGACCATTACAGTTTCATTTGTAACAGTTTCAAACACATCTCTTTCAATAAAACAAGTCAGACAATCACTCATATACCTATCGCCAATTCTATTGCGCAAATTAGTCTTCACTATTTTCATAGCGGAAAAGCATCTCTCTACGGTTGCTGTGGCAACTGGCAAAGTCAATGCTAACTTTAAAAGCTTATACACCAAAGGATGTGAAAGATGTTTCCTTGTATCCACCATCACTCGAGCAAGATCACCAAGACTTTTCAATCTAGCAAACCTTTCATCCGCTAACACATTGTCAATGTAAATACTGACTTGATGCTCAAGAGTTCTGCGTTCCACATAACTGAAGTCACTTGGATAAAATTCAGCCAATCTCAACAACTTTGAAGCATCAAACTCACGGAAGGAATCAATCGGACTCAAAGAGGCCATGCAAAGAAGTAGCTCAGAATTTACCTCATTGAAACGGTCATCAAATTCACTAATTTGCAAATCCATTATGGTATTAAAACATTCATACTCATAATGATGCCGATTAGTGATATTAGTTCTTTGACGTGGCCTCCTTGGGTTAACAAAGTCCTCATCCATATTAAGCACAGAAATTTCATGCTTCTCACAAAATTCTAAGATCTTCCTCAAATGTGAATCCCATCCATCAGCTCTTACCTTAAGCAATTGTTGCTTTGTTGTTTTCACAAGTGAAACAACATTCAATATGTCTTGATCTTTCTTTTGAAGAGCCACTGACAAAGAATTTGTGAGTCCCAAGATAAGCAACATCAACTGCAAATAAAACACAAATTTAAATGATTGAAAATATGTTAGAAGACTGGTCTTGGTTCATTAAATCATCACATTTTTTAAGTGCCTTATTGTGGAAACTATTTATATTACCCACATGAGAAGCTAATCGCTCCGTTTTATTCCAACTTGAGAACCCTTCAGTTACAAATGCATCATTCCCAGCACGATTCTCAAAGTGATCTTTAAACAAGTAACAAGGCAAACAAAAGGCTTTGTCATCTTGTATACTATATTCTAACCAATTAGGATATTGATCAAACCATTTAGAGTTGAAGCGTCTTAAAGTCTTCCCAATCTCTTTTTGTGGGAAGTCATGACCACGTGGTTGACAGGGTCCTTTAATCAAATATTTTCTCCTGATTTCATCTATTTGATTAGGATGGTACTCAGAAATTTTTCTTCTTTTTACGGGATCTGAGGGAAGCTCATCCAAATCAACTTGTTTAGGTATTGATGAAGAACATTGAGATGCAATATTTGAAGCATTATTATTTGAACTACCCGGTGAAGGAACGGTAGCCCAATATCTCTTCATTGAGTATTTGAGTTTGGAAAAGAAGTTAAACTAAAATTAACTGTTTTAATACATTCATAATTTCATACATTTCATTTAACTACCTAAAATAATATATATTTTACATTTAGGGTTTCTACTTTCTAATAGTATAAAACATTCTAAAATTGAATTAATTAACAATTTCAGTAGCTCATCAGCTATATTAAATCTAATTGAACCTTCTAAAATATTTAATCTATGATGTGAATAAATTTAAAACACTATAATTATTAATTAGTTAAATATACTAATATGTATATAATTACTAAATATTAACTACACAAATACACAATAGGAAAGTAATCAACACTCCAAATCAACACTCCAAATCAAGTAATCAACACACCGTAATTGATAAAATATGACAAATTAAAGTGAAAAGGCTTACCTAGTTTTGATTTCCGGCTTGGAGTTGGCTAAATGGTGGTCGAGTTCAGACCAGTGGTTCGCGGTGGTCGCGGGCGGCGGGTCGCCTGGTTGCCGGTCGGAGCAAGGAGGTTCTGCGGCCGAGTTCTTGTTCTTCTGGCTTCTGCGTCTGGCGTCTGCGGCTGAGCGAGTGAGCGGCGTCTGCGCAAGGGGTAGAGAGTCGGGGCTAAGGGAGTAAGGGCTGAACGGGCTGGAAGATTTTGGGTTATTGGGGGCAGGCCATTTTTTTAATTGGGGGCAAACAGCTGGGCTTTTCATATTTTTTAAAAAATTAAAAGGGTTTAATGGGCCTTTATTGGGGGCAGCTGCCCCCCTGGGCCTTAGTGGATCCGCCCCTGTTTTAGGCTTCTTCTTGCCCGTTTTGTGTCTAGCGAGTCATGCTGCTTTGTATGAGTGACTGACTCTAAGTATATTCCTAGGGCTTATGATCGAATCTGTAATATCTGTCTGAATTTGGTGTTGCGTATTTGCTCTATTTTAATAGAAAACTATTTTCATGATAAAAAATATATACGTGAAAGTGAACTTTGGTAAAATTTTATGAATGAGAAAGTACAACAAAATAGAAAAGTAAAAAAAAGTCTTATGGGCTTTATTTTCATCATCACATGGGGTGGATAGAGTAAAAAACCACGCTTTTGAGTTGATTCACATTCACCCTCAAATGTGATATATCCCACGTTTTGCGAGACATGATGTATTTGCACCTTTGTGGTAGATTTTCCAACCCTGCGACATTCATATCAATTGGCCAGACAGAGGCTGCGTTTGTTTTTCGGCGGATCGACCTAGTAATGGAGGGTTTGACCGTTTGACTGCCTAAGTCGCTGATTTCAAGCGTTTGGTAAGGGGACGGTGCGAATGGCGTGTCTGATGAAACCGCCGAAAACCAAAACGCTGGGAATAGGAGCGATTAGGTTTCGGCGGATTCAAAAAAATACTGAATTGCTTCCACTCTGTTTGAAGTATCGTTCCTCAGTGTAAGACGACTCTGCTTCCACTCTTCAGCAACACAGATTCTCCAAAGGTATGTGTTAATCCTCTCATCTAGACCAGTCCATTTGGTTCTTGAATTGCTTTGATTTGTATGGGTATTATTTGTATGGGTATTATCTGTATGAGCGCAATAAACAACCTCCTGTAGTTCAAAGGTGAATGACTTGTTTTTCGTTTTTTACAGTAATGGCTTGTACCCCCTTTTAGTTACTAGGAGAAGAAGTTCTTAATAAAAGAATAGTTTCGGAGTATAGAATGGTTGGAGTGATGCAGGAAATCATAGTGGCTATCAAAATCGAGAGCCCCTGTTTTTCTAGTAGTTCACCAGTCCCTTCTCCTAGATGATCATCAACCAAACAAAAAGTTCCGATCTTTTCTTGACATCACAACTGAAGCCATTCGAGAGGATGTTTACAAATTATGTAGTGTTACTTTAACACTAACTAATATATGTAAATACACGGACTGAGACCACCAACAGGGGCACAATGACGTGCTTGATATTTTTCTTCATAAAAGTTATTTAGTTTCTTAAAAAATAAAAATGGATGCATTGGATTTCATTCCCTAAAAAGTCTACAGATTGATTTGATGGTTTTTCTCAAGTTGATCATGAATGGCTTGGATATTTTGATATTTTTTTTGGATCATAAATGAATTAATGCATTCATCTTAAATAATCCCTTACAATGCATTCACAGTTTGTCCATGTGAAAAGTCTATCGACTAGATCATGTGCTTTTGTCAATTAATCAGTAGAATTGTTAGTCCTCTCATCTAGATCAGCCCATTAGGAGTACTCTATTATATTTCCTTATTTGATTCATGTGAAATCTGTATATATTACTTTTGGCCATTTGCATGTACGAACAGGTCCTTTTATAATTTTTGCTTCATTATGGAGGTTACACACTTACATGTACAATTTGAATTGTGGTGGACTTTTTTTAATTCATGACTTTTAAAAGAGTCGATAGATTTTAAAAATCATATAATTTTTTATGAATAAATCTATTGACTTTCAAATCTGGAATGCCACTATCAGTCGCCAGAGTTTTCACCTCGATTGCCGCTATCGATCTGTCTATCCGTCTCCGTCGCCGGAGCTCGTCACCGTCGCTGATCCGCCATCAACAAAATGACTTTGGTTATGCAAGGGAATTAGGAGCAATTAATTATATTTACTAATTAAGTTAGGGGTAGAAATTAATATTTAGTCCTGTTTATGGAAAATCAAACATATGATCATACTTTGGGATAAATGTTACTTCGTATGTTTTAGTCCTATCATGTGTAATTTCCTCTATATAATATGATACGGAGTAAGAAACAATTAAATAAATAAATGAAACAAATGTATTTCATCTAGCAACGCAGAGGTGTACAAGAATAAGTGAAGCATAACAATCCTAATTTATTTTTATTGAAAAGAAAATTCAAAGTTTCGAGAATGCTCAACAATCGCGATCTATTTATGATCAATAGTTATATTAAATAACTGAATGAGTAAGAACAAAAATCATTACACAAGTGTTACACTTATTGCTACATGTGGTACAAGAATAGGTGCAATCGAGTTTATCTTCTTAATAATTGTTTTATTTTCATTTTAGTTTATAAAATTTTGTATACTTGTTTACCATTATATATTTATTAATTTGAAATTATATTTTTATGTGTTAGCGGTTTAACGATGAAACACAGTAATAGTTAACTGACGACGTACCACAATTGCACCGATGTAATACTATCGATTCTTATATCGGTTCTTCTAAAAACTTCTAGACGGGATCAATATGGGATTAGGTTCTTCAAATGGTTCCTAATTTTCTTTCAAGAATTGAACCAATTTCACCCCCTACATTTTTCTTCGTAAGACGACATATAAAATATCACTTTTTATTTATTAAATTTATCTTGTGTATCAGTATTAATGAAGAATCTCTTTGTTCAACTTTATTTATCGTAAAATGATTAAAATCAAAACTTGATGTTCAAATCTTGCATATAGAGACCATCTTGGTACCCACCTCCCATCCCGGCTGGTACTACTCCATAACTTGTTGGCCGGTTTGTGATCTCAGGTAACTAATTAGTCAAATCTGCAATCAGATCTATGCATACTTGTGATGAGTGGAAGACAACAAAAAAATCAATGGAAATCTTTGGTGAAGAGAAAAGACAATTGCAGAGAATTAATGTACTAAGAATCAATTTAAAGTCCACGAGAATCCATGATTTTAGAAGTCAATAAGAATGAATGGAAATTTAAATAAGCCTAGACTTTTATAGACATTTAATTAAATGTCTACATTGAATACACCTAGACTTTTAAGACTTTCAAACGTCCACATTGAATACACCTAAACTTCTAAAATCCAATACACCTAAACTTCTAAAATCCATAGTCCTTTAAAATTTTGTCACTAATTCTTAATACAATACACCCTTGTAGCATAGAGGCGCACCATGTAGATCAGAGGATTACAAAGTATTTCAAAGGTGCATATAAACTTTAACAAAGGACATTTAGACCATCTGTAATGGTGGCCGATGGGGAGTTCAAAATGTTAAAAATGCGCTCCCTCTATATGAGAACATTGTTATTTTTTCCCTGAATGATTATGAAATAAAACACACACATTTCGATGTAAACAATAAATAAACTTCATTAATTTTTTTACGTTTTTCGGTTAAAAAATCAACTTAGTTCAAGTAAAGTTCAATTATGGAATATTCAGTTATTTGAGAAGATTCCATGAATTAAAAATATGTGTTTCATGTTTTTTGGGCTCAAGAAGACTCCAACAGTTAATACTTCTAATTTTTTCATTTTATATACTACGTATTACATATTGGTGTCGTACGAAGAATGAAAGATGATAAAGATTCAAGAATTTTCGGTATATTTTTTGAAAAATTTGGAGAACATATAAAAAAGTTACTACCTCCGTCTCATTAACATTGATAAATGAGGAGGTGACACAATCATTAAAAAAATTGAGTGTATGTGGTTAATATTGATAAAGTAAAAATAAAGTAAAAAATGATTTAACCCCACACAAAATTTATCAATTTGATATGAGACAATCTTTGCGGGGTATACCAAAAAGCAAAGATAGAACAATTGTTGCGGGGCAGTGGAGTATACAGGTTTCAAAACATTTGGGGTAATAATGACGTATGCATGATGCAAAGATGACATAATCCCCAATACCATGCATGCGCCCCCGTCCACTTCCATCCTCCCCTTTTATTTTCTTTATCATTTTCTTCGCTTATGTCAACCCACCCTCCATTTAGACCCATTTCATCCCCTTTCTCAGTTTTAATACTTCATTTAGTCTACCACTATATTAAATTAGGAGTTCAAAACTTTCATTTTTGTTGTAGAGAAGTGAGAGGTGTGTGTTATTCCATTAGCAAGCCTTTTAATAGGAGAAATTAGGGTTTACAAGAGATGAGCTAATGGACCATTTAATTAAATACACACAAAAGCCCTAGATTTACTTTCTATCTATAACGAATGCACATTAAAGGTAATTTTCTTCAACACCCCCCTTGTGCTGAGTTGTAGATAGAATGATGCTTATTAACTTGTCATGTAGAGACTTCGTCAAGTAACAAAAACCTTGTGGTAAAAAATAACCTTGACAGAAGGAAATCGTCATGAGAACCGTGTTAGACTTCGTTCATTGAGTCTTTTATTTGATCCTTACTTTGATCAATGTTTATCATTACCTCATTAAAAACCTTACCAAGTAAGAATAACCGAGTGGGAAAAAATAAACCTTGGGTTAAGGAAAAGAGTGTAACATAATGTTGTGTAGGTGTAAGACTCCCCCTAAGGTCTACACCTCCCCATGATATTTACATTAATCAAGGGAGTTCGGAAAGCTTTCGCATTGTTATGTTATTTACACGTTTTCTTCCGAACTTATTTGATTCACTTGAATCTTAAGAAAAGCCTGTTGTTACTGATTGTAGAAAAACTTGGGAGATATGTGTTTTGTGTTATCACCCTTGATATATCCCAACTTCATTTGTTCAATTCAAGTAGGCTCTTCAGTGGTGGATTTCAAACCACTAGTTACTCGAATATGTGTAATGATAGCTCTTAACCATTTACACTCACGGACTGCTTCATGTAGAGCAATAATCTCAGAGTGGTTCGAGGAGGTAACCACAAGGATTTGTTTGGTTGACCTTCAAGATATTGTCGTGTTCCCAACTTTGAAAACATAACCAATTTGAGAGCGGCCTTTGTGAGGGTCCGA